AAAAACATGTCAAGACTTTTCCAACAACCCAGTAGTACACCTAAAAAAGAAATAGCTGTGTGTGTATGTGTAGCATATATGTATAGTTTTGAAGTTATTTCTGCATCGACTTGAAAAGATTTTTTTTTTGAGAGATTTTTGCTATAGGGTGCATGTACTCACTGGAGAGACAGAAAGAGAGAAATGACCATCAGGGTGATGGCCACACCACAATCCCTTGTCCTCCATTCTCCTCTCAGGATTTTGGGCACACACTCCTGGTACGAGTTCAAGCCACCAGGTCTGGGACTTGAACCACAGTCAAATACGTGGGAGTCCAGTGACGTCCAGTCCATCTGCTGGTCCCTCGACTTGAAAACAAAAGCTACAGAATTTGTCGACAATTCTCCGGTCTCCAAATTCTGGTTTGGGTTTTAAACTGGTGCGTAGTTACTTTCTTTCCGTCTAATATTTGAAAATAATTTGTATTTAGCTTTCCGAATTCCTCTTTCAAATGATTTTTCCAGTGACAGCACATTCAAGTAGGCCACTCCTTCACTGACTGACTTGGTGTTGAGTTGATGTCTGGACTCTTTCACATGAAAAGGCAGCTTGGTCTTTATCCTGAAAACACAGTTGAAGACCTGAGATGATTTTCACTAAGATATCGTAACACCTGCTGACATGGAAAATGCTACACGCTTCTAGGGAGCTGTGGTAGAAAAGAGTTCTGCTATTCCTTTAAGTATGTATACACTTTTTATTTCTTCTGCCACATTCCAAGAATTTAAAGAGATTTTTCGGGATAGAAAATACAGTAAAATGTATAAAACATTAAGAGTTGTGGCGACTAGAGGGACCAACTGATGGCGTGATGGTTACATCACTGGACTCCTGTGTGGTCAACCATGGTTTGAGTCCTGGATCTGGTGGCTTAAAACTCACGCTGGGCACGTGTATATGTGTTCCCAAAATCCCAAGAGGAGAATGGAAGAGAAGAGATTGCAGTGTGGCCATCTTTCCTGGGGGTGATTTTGCGCTGCTTTCTGTCTCTCTGTCTCTGTCTCTCTCTCTCTCACCGGCAAGTGCACACGCCCTATAGCAAAAGTCTCTCAAAAAATAAAGAATTGTGGCAACTGGGGCCAGCAGGTGAAAGTTCAAGTCCCAGACCTAGCAGCTTGCTCTCTCTCTTGTCAAATTAAAAAATAATAATAATAAATTAAATAATTCTTTAAAATGAAAAATGAAGAATTGTGGCAGCTGATTTCCATAAAACTGTTAACTCATCCATGGGTAGATGGAGGTGGTAGACTAGTTAAGTGGTGAAGTGTTTCATTAGTTGTTTCCCATCAGTAAAAAATTTAAATTACTTGAAGGATTGATAGTCGATATTGTTTTGTTTTGTTTTGTTTTTTAAAGAATTATTTTTGCTTAACTTTACTTATACTACTTATTTATGTTTTAATTTGACCAGGGGGGGAGAAGGAGAGAGAGTGAGAGAGAGAGCAAGCCAGCCCCCAGGTCTGGGACTCAAACAGCAGTCGACCGTGTGGGAGGCCAGTGGCTTTAACCATCACGCTGCCTGCTGGCCCCTTTAGTTAATATTGTTTTAAATATTGGGATTCTGTGTCAGATTTTATTTTTTAATATAATTATTCCTAAGGAAGTTTTTCCTTTTTTTTTTTTTAAGAATTATTTAACTTTATTTGTTTACTTATTATTTTATTTAATTTGACCAAAGAGGGACAGAATGAGAGCAGGGGGTGGGAATCGAGAAAGCAAGCTGCCAGGTCCAGGACTTGAACCAGGTTGGCACCCTTAACCACCAAGCCACCTGCCAGCCCCAAA